TGAATGTGCAAAGAGTATCTCATGTTTTGCTAGTTGCTTAAAGCATGGCTGTGCTTGTTTCACCCTTTCTGTGATGCCAAAGTGGTTGAGCACCATCCCCGTGACTACTTTGCCACTTCACAGCACATGGGATTTTTATTTTTTGAGGTTTGAACCAGTCCACCAAGGGAAATGGACCCCTCCCACTGATTTCTTGCAGACGCACGCCTTTTGGAAGACGACTTTCCTTCTGGAGAAGGTCCCTGCACCCAACTTGGAGAAACACGCAAGCCCCCCCCAAAAAAAACAAGAAAATGTCTTGGGGGAAGGTTCTATATTGGGACTACCGTTCCCCTCCATACATTTAGCGGCATGTTCCTGTTCCATGGTTACACGTGAAAGGTTTGTCAGAGCAACCACCTGGTTCGACAGGCAGGGGAGTTGGGAATGACCCTGAAAAAGGTCATCCAACCTATGGCTTCATTTGAGGGAATCCCCCCTCTAGGATCTCTAGGTTCCAGAAACTCGGTCATCCCCTATCGCAGCAAGTGCAGAGGGGGGAGGTGGAGGCAGGTCCAACCCAATCAGTGGACTCACATGCTCGTGTAGCTTTTGACTCGAAGAGGGGCAACCCCACACCAAAGAAGACAAAAAGTGTGGATTTGCTTGGTCGGGAAAGCCACTCCAAACAAGACCAAAACAACGAATCTTTAACAGCGGTGGACTCCACTGGGCAAGTGTTCATCAACATCTCGGCTGCAGCCGCTGTTTTGGGTGTCCTCAAATCGAACATGATGTGAAGAAAACAAAATCTCACCCCAAACCGCAAAATGGACACATTCGAGCAATGCCCAAAACCCAGCAACGCAGATAGAGCCCTACTGTGGATGGACGAAATCCTGCACCATTTTGAAACCACGGGAAACCATTGTTTGTTGGTATTTACAGGGCAATCATTATCCCAGGGTTTCTGAGGTGGTGCAGGATTTCGTCCATCCACAGTAGTTCTAAGCTCCACTAAAGCAAGTAGGACCCTGCTGCGCACTTAGGTTTCGACTGCCCGCGACTGAGGCTCCGGCAACGGCCCTGAAGGGGGGGCAGGGCCGCTGGCCCAGAATTGAAATCCTGGCAGGCATCTCCAGACCACCAGACCGCCAAGGAACCACGGCTGTGGGTCAAAAGCAATGGTACCATTTTGGGTTTTTTGCACCACCCCATTCTAGTCTACTTTTGTGGGGATTGGGATGTTCACTAAGGGTACAGGATTTTGACCCATGGCTAATATGTTTTTTCTTCTTATGCCGGTGGCTAAATACTACTTCTACGTCAAGTCGAGGTGGTGTCATCGCGGGTGGCTTTACGGTGCTTTGTTGTTTTCCGTGCGTCCAAACCAACATGTGCAACGTTTCCGTACAAGTGCAGTGCACAAAGTTCGCTGCGGTAGCTCCAGTACAATTGCACAAAGCACACTCTGGCGGCTCCAGCATCAGACAGTGTAACGGGTAAACCGCAGGGATGCAAGGAAGAGCGTGCAAAGGGCAGTTCCTGTGAAAAGCGCAACCTTTTTGGCTATCCTTGTTTTCAGCTGTCAAATCGAGTATATTTTGGGCCTAACAAGCTGCGCTTTCCCAGCTGGCAAGGCTGTTTCACATGATCGGTGTCGTTGCTTAACTCTTTATCGTCTTGTGGGACACAGAGCTGTTGCGTGCGCAAGCGTCCGCCGAATACTCCTAGATAAACTGAGTTCAGGAGTTGTGCTTGTTAAACATACCTTGAGCGTCGTCGAACTGATCAAACCATGGACCTCCACCCAAAAACCCGCAAAAGACCACCCCCCCCACCCCCCACCCCCCACCAAAAGGCGGGGTTGGAGCCCCGGTGCAAGGCAGGAATTGGGAATGAAAGGTCCTAATATCTTCATACGCCTATGATGGGCCATGAGCTTCTGCAAAACGCCGACTGTCTACTGGGCTAAATGGCTGTGGGTCAAAAATAGGTACCCCAAATGGAAGCCTAGTAAGTGGACACCTGGACCAAAACCTGCGGTCCATATCCTGGTAATTTTGACCCATACCCAAATGGAGACTACTAAGCCAACCAAAAACAAACAACAAAAGCCAGAGGAGCCGAACGGCTGGGAACCACCAAGGTATAGAAGATACTAAGATACTTCGAGGACACCAAAAAAGAGAAAGAATTGGGACACCAGAGGCGGATCTGCGTTTCCATAGCACATGGGGTGGTTCCACTGTCGCTTATGCTCAATCAGGGGGGATCCCTACGTTGCGAAGCACCCATATGGGTTTGCCGCTTTTGGAGGGTACCCCGGTTTGGCAGGAAAACCAGTTTTTTTTTTTTTTTTTCGAGGGGGGGGGTGGGTCCTTATAAAGAGACACACCCATATCCCACGCCATGCAGAATGAACCCTAGGGAAGCTGTACCTTGAATTCTGCTTCGGTGCTGCGAGCAGTTGCTGGGTCAATCCCTTCCTATTTTGGATTCAACGGGGTTGTTCCAACGACCCCGGCACAAGAGAAACTTGGCAACCCTTGGCTGAAAGGCAGGAATCAAAGGAAACCAGCCGGGTTGCGTTTATATTCCATACTTTTTCCAGGGTTGACACCCTTCCAATCTTCTGCCTGGCTCTAACCATCTTTTCGAGGGACCAACCCCGCAGGGTTGGCGAAATTGGATCCGCCGCCAAGAGCCCAAAACGGCCAGTCGTCCTTGGCCCAAAGAAAGAACTGACGTGTGGCAAACCGGTGGAGTCTCAAAGGAGAAAGTGAAGCTTGGTTTCTGCTGACCCCTCCGCAAAGAGTTTTAACTTGTGTGGGTCCTGTCGGGAAAATCCACTGTTTCCAAAAGAGAAAGTCCAAAGATCAAACCAAATAGCCATAAAGGAAGGAGCTTGTGCACTGAAGGCGTACATTTCATGTTCGAAGGGAAGAGGTCACAGGGCAACTTGGAAACCTGCAAAAACAAATCATCAGGCAAACATGGCGCATCCCCTTGCCAGTTCCAACTTCCGAACACGACGCCAAGTTGTCCAGCGACCTAATGAGACCTTGTTGGGAACCCACGGTAACCCACGGTCACCACCATCACTTTCAGCCCGACTGAAACCACAAGACGAGAAACGTTGCCGACCAAAAGCATTCTCGGAGCCTCTCTCACGGCGTGCGCGGCTCAGGATAAGCCTAGGACAAGCCAAGGGGAAGACCTAATGTTGACCCCGGAGAAACAAACCGGTTTTGCTTGATAGGGTTCTGTTCCCCTCCAAAAGTCATAAATCCCCACTCAAAAGGGGAATCACCCCCCAAGAAAAAAACTGGGGTTCCACCTCATCCGGGGTTCCCAGCAACAAGGATTGCAGGGTATAGGCGCTACCCAGTTCCGGCCTGGAGGTCAGAATAGGTAAAGCTTGGGGTCATGAGCCATGACACCATATTCAGAAGGACTCAGAAAATACTGATGGGTTCGCGGTATGGAAGCAGACAATGCCCCTCCCTATGGGTCCTATGGGTCCTAGCGAGATTGAACCAGCAAAGCCGGGGTCAGCCCCAAACCTCGCCCGGTTTTTCTTCATGTTGGGGGTTGGGTTTGGGGGGGGGGGGGCGGGGGGGGGGGGGGGGGGGGGGGGGGGCGGGGGGTTGTGACTCTTATGAACTCCGCATTGATCCTCTGCGGATCGACATGAACCTCAAACAACAACACGAGTGTAAAGCGAAGTCTCGTTTGGAGGGCCCCGTTTTGTGGGTTCCAGAGAAATTTGAAGCATCTTTTCTTTTGGGGAGTCTTCAATCCTTCCAGTTGTATTCCCCTAAAGCATCACTTCCAACGGTCTTCCCCAAAGGTTTGAAGTCCAGAAAGACGAGCAGAGTGCGACGTTTTGTTGTACTTGATTTGTCAAAGGGGTTCCCTCCAACAAAACAAGCTGAACGGGCACCTGGGACCTTTTGAGGAAGCAAAGTTGCACAAGACCTGTTTTCTTGTCGTGGTGTCCTTTTCCTTTCCGCCCTTAGAACTTCCTCTTCAACTGAGGTTTCGGATAGCCCCCTTGCCGGGATATCGATTTTGTGGCCCTGTCAGCTTCTGGTGATCATATTGTGGGGTACTCAAGTGCAAATCGAGAAACTGGGGGATCTTGCCTCGCAATCCTTTCAAAGGCTCCCAAAAAAAGGTTCTCTCAACAAAGACACACCCGTATCACCAAGGAGTCCCGAATTAAAACTCATATTCATATGGGTTGTCTCAAAATAGGGGAACCGCAAAAAGGGTGGCTTGGTTTCCCTTCAAAACCATACAAAAAGGGTACCCTCCAAAGAAGATGCAGCCATATAGGCGTGACTTTTTATCAGGGGCTCTGGTGCATCTCCACCAACCGCTTTTGAGGTCCCAAATTCACACCCATATAGAATCCCAAGCCGAAGTGGGTCCCCTTTCAAGTATGCGAGTTTCGATAGTGAGTCCCTTAGAATTCACACCCATATAATATGAGCCATGGTCAAAACTGCTCATGTGGCCTTTGTCATGGTTCCCTTGTATCAGTAGAACGGTCATCGAGGATCCTTACTATCGGGTGGATCACCATCCCTGTTAACTGGGCACCCCTCTAAAATGGGTGGGGTTGTCCTTTTGGATTCCCTTTTCATTATAACAACCCATCAAAAAAAAAGAAGTGTAAGCCGACAAGCCACCAATTTTGCTCTGGTTCACACTATGGTTTTTGCTTTCCTTTTGGTTTCCGTTTCCCTTCTTGAATCCACCGGGTTTGGAACAAACAAAACGCCGGTAGCACCTCAAAACAGCAAGAGCCAACGAGCCCGATCGGTTCACCCCCCAAAAACTCTTCCTTCCGCTCACTCAAATGCCCAGTGGCCAAGGCCATCCTTTTTGGTTGGTTGACTTTCAAGGGGGCTTCCCTCCCCCCCAAAAAATAAACAAGTTAAAGACAGGGCACCAACCTGGACCACAGAAAGCTCAGCTGAGCAGCGAGTCGAACGGATTGCTCCTCACCTCTCTCATCCGAAGGCCATGCGCTGCAGGGCGTAGGTCCCGACGCCCCCCACGAAGCCCAGGGCCGCCCAGAAGGAGATGCGGCGCATGTACCACAAGAAGCCCACGCCCTCCAGGCCCATCAAGGTCACGCCTGATGGGAGCGCTGGAGCGGACCAGCTTCCGTCGTTCCTAGGTCCTCCAGTAGAGAGGTTAGAATAAGTTGGTACCAACTTTTTTTAGGACGTCTATTTTGGTAGGGGAACCCTCCCAACCCAAAAACGGGTGAGAAAGGGCACTACTAGGGGGACCTAGCCAAAGTCCGCTTCAACCAAAGCGGGGAGCGCGGAGCGGGGAGTCCAAGGGGACGGATGGCTCACGTCCATTTTTGCCTTTTCGTCTGGAAACAAAAATAAGGAGCATGTGTCCAGTAGCAACAGGTTCCCTCAAAAACTAACACAGGAAACAATAGAATTGCTTTGGAACCCCGTTGGTTTGGACCCTACCTTCTCCACTTCTCTTCAAAAGGAACCGGCTCCAAACCACAAATAGGGTACCGGACATAGGGCTTCAACCAAGGGAGCTGTCCCTGGACTGCCTAACTTCCATCTCTTGTTTTCTCTGGCAAAAATAAGAACACATGTCCAGCAATGACAAACTCCCTTGACATGTTTTTTTTTTTTCTCAAATTCTCCTTCAGCAAATGGAAGCTAAAAGTCGAGCACTTGTGGGTTAAGTGGAAAATACCCCTGAACCCCCAAACAGCCTGAAACAACCTCAAAAGCACCTAAAGGGAACCGGATGGCTGGGAACCGCGACAAAGGGGCTGACCAGGCAAAAAAGCGGGGGGGGGGGGGGAGCTCCAACCACCAAACGGTTTGGAGGCAATGGAGGTGGCTCGACTCCTGAAAACGACCAAAGGGCTCCGCCTCAGGGAGCCGATCCACGGGAAACTGGCGACTTGTCTACATGCCATTCCGAAAAGCCTTCAACAGTCCATCGGGAAGCGAGAAATAAAAAGTGGGCGGCAAACCGGGGCTTGCCAAGTGCAAACCAAGTACCATGTTTTTTGAGAAGAGAAAGGATATGATGAACACGGGTCTATGTTGCAACCGGCATGGGTTTTTTGGGTTTGAGTCTGCAACCAAAAAACTCTTAGCGTCCATGGCACCGGGAGGGGGGGGAGGGGACGGGGGCATCAAGGTCACGCCTCAGAAGCACAAAAGCAGAGAACAGCAGCAGCGGGCGGAAAGAAGTCTTTGAGGCAAACACATCAAACAGACAAATAGGAAGCGAGCACAATGCAATTGTGTGGAAGGTTCCTTAAGTGTCCCCGAACAAAACAAAAACATTGGCAAGCAAGGAAGGCAAGCAAGAAACACATTGGGAGGTTTTGCATCGAGTCCTCTGTGGGTCTTGGGACTGAGACAGCCTACACCCTCAAATATGTCTCAAGAGTCGATGATTTCGAGCCCCAAACCACCAGGGTTTGGACATGATCTTCCAGTCCGGCTCCATGTTAGATGGTGTGGCTATAGAGTGGCTGTATATCCCATTAACCTCTGGGGGTAGTGGGTTGGGGTGGTAGTGGAAACCATCTTAGAAAAGGGGCTCGTCCTTTTGAACAACTTGGGCAATGTCAGGCCAAAGCGTCTTTCTATATCACCAGGGGGTGCCGTAGGGTTCCCCACAAATGGAACAGAAACAAATAAGGTGTTGTTGTTTATTGTTTTTCTTCGGGTTTGGCTTAAGCAGGATCTTGTGGATCACAAAGTATGCCACTCACCAAAAACAAAACCAAACGGAAACCCGAAATTCGCTTTCTGCAGCCCTCGATTTTGACCAAAACCCATCTTGGCCCGTCCTTTTGTCGCGGAAAAAATCAGACTGGGAGT